AGGGGGGGGGGGGTACTTCTGCCACCGTTTGTTTTCTCTGTGAACATTCAGGTCTTTGTCTGGGATGTGCGCAGCAAGATAAATGACCACAAGCCACATCGTCCCCTGCAAACAAGACATGGTTCTCAGTTTCTCTATTATTTTAGAACCTTGAGTCTAAAAAGCTTCTTTCCAGGGTGAGTAGTATTAAAGCAAGTGGTTTCATATTTTAAGCTTTTGTTTGGTTTTGTTTTCCTTCCTTTAGATGAAAGTCAGCCTCAACAGAACTCAAGACGGGGAAAACGCTCCGTTTCTGTGCAGGCTTCTGTCCCACAGAAACGAAGCAGTGCCGCGGGAGTCACCCGCTGGCCATCGTGGGAAACAACAGCCGGAGCGGAGCCGGGCAGGGGATGCTGCGGGAGGCGGCCCGAGTTGGGAGGCTTCCAAGTGCACTGCCAACTCTGGATTTCTCTCCAGAACAGCGCGGCTGATAAAGCACGAACTGAAATTTATCAAAATACATCGCACGAGAGTTTTCTGCAGGAAAATCGCCAAGCCTCGGTGAAGAGAAAAGGTGACACGGTGATTTGTTAGCTACTCGCTCCCCATCACTTTCTTAGCTTCTGTTTGCTCGGTGGGAAAGAGGAGTAAATAGCACAATAAAAATCTACACAGCCTTTACTAAACAGTCCCTTGTCCTGCAACAACCGGACAAATCTGAAGTCTCTAAACTCAGCTTGATAAAAATGAATTCTCCGGGCTGCCCCTGATAACGTAAATCAGATTTAAGCCAAGCTGCTGCTGGTGCCCTCAATAATCTCTGTGTAAACCAGAAACAAGTGGAGATAACCACATGCTTGCACCAGAAACATCCTCAACCAGGGCTTAACTGTTAAAGAAAAAAGAAAGTCATCAATGCACCAGTGGACACTTCCATAAATTAAGGAAAACCCTAAAAGGTAATTTCTAGATGGGTTACAGTCACAACAAGGAACCCAAGTGAGGTAACAAGGTTAATACTAGCAAGAGCAACATGGAAATGGGACTAAAAGAAAAAAAAAAACAAACATTCACAGGTGAAGCTTTTCAAGGAGGCCAGAAATAATACGTGACAGTTGTGTGTTAACTGAAATGAAATAAAAAACAGGGGTAGGAAAAAGCTTGGTGAAAGCGTCACAATGTCTCAATACAAATATCTCGAAATTTGTCACTTAACAAAACTTTAGACATGGTCATATAACAGGGAATACAAACAAATGTTTTATCTTTCGGAAGGCAAATCCAGCATGACTCACACCAAGAAAGGGAAAGGACATGGCAGCAAAACAGATTTGCATCGCACCCTTTTTAATAGCCCTCTATTTACTCTGAAATATGTAAAGTCTAGTTACGTCATTTTGTTGGCTGAAGTAATCTGGGTTTTATCTTCTGAACGAACCTTCCCCCAATGAAAATGTTGGCTGCCAAATTTGTTGGAAGTTTTATAGGAGGTTTGGGGTATATTGACAGACTGTTACAGAATCTATAGCTTAGATTGCACTTCCCTACTTATAAATATGCAAAAGATGTATTTTACATGGCCTTGTTATTTAAGTAAGTCCAGTATTTCAAAACTTCTAAAACAAACAGAAGCTTAATTCTCTCATGACAAATCATCACAGATGCCCAGAGGAAGAATCATTCTCCCAACATCAGGACCCTAAGAACTTTACACTACCCTTAGCTGGGTTCTCATATCTTCTCCTGCCTATGTGAGCTATTTCACCTCCCGTACTGATCATTATTTGAAGGTTTTAGGTTTCTCCAGTGACATTTATCTCATTGTGATTTAATTTAAAAATGAACTACCTCATTACTATTGCTGCCATTAAGTTTCCCACATAACTCTGAATATGTAAATCAGTCAAGGGCATATTAAGCCTTTAGCACTCTGACTATTTCTTCATTTGTACAAGAGGGTTTTTTGGGTTTTTTTTCCTCTTTGATTTTATGTCTTTACACATATGACTGTTCCCCGGCAGTTTAGACAACCCCAAAACTGTTCCATTCTCCATACAGGTTACGAAGTGTATGTAAAAACCCTGAAATGCCAAGCGGCTCTGCCGAAGGATAAGGGTCATCCTTGAAGATCCAGAAGACACCATTTAAAAATTTTATTTTTAATTCCAACTCCATGGAAAACGATTTCCTCGTGGTGGTACATGATAATCCATACTTTTTGTTAGCAGTTAGTGGAAGATGTGCAAGGCAGCAAATGCCTACAGACCTTTCCCTCATGCTGAAGCCAAGCAGAAGCGCAGGGCCTAACAGTGCATCTGCTTTCACCTTGCAGAGCTAAGCCAGCCTGGGAGCAGCTGAAACCCAGGTTCATTTGGCATCTCTGCTTCTCTTCCTGTGTCCTTTTTCCTGTTCTCAGATAGACATCAAAACTGGGAAGCTGAACGATTTTGTGGTTTTAATACATTTTTATGTGTCAAGCAGTTTTGAGGAATTCTATTTCTTCCTCCCTGCTCTATTAAAGCCTGACACTTTTGACATAGGATATTGGAACAATATTTTTTAAGTATCATTGACACATAAGGCATTTTCAGAACTTTATTTAAGAGCTAAAAGCACACATACAGGTACCTAACCAAACGCACCAGAACCTGATATTCCTCCATACTTCGTCTGATCTGTTAGACTACTGTTATAAAGCTGCTCTGCAAACAACAATTACTTTTAATAAACGTGGTCATTAGACACTTACGTACTTCTCTAAATTATTTTCAGTTGTCTCATGCTTCTAAATATCTGTTACATTTGAAAATATGGCTGTGTCCCCAAAGCATCAATATATGCATGTTGTGATATGTACCTGAAGGTAACATTCATACCACTAACAATTTTTTCAGAGATAAGAAATTTAAAGTTTCTAAGCCGCTCGGCTTCTATATCACCAAACTAAGTTAAATTTAATTCAAAGTCCATACTTTCTTCTCAAAAAGGAAAAACAATTTAAAAGCTTGATGTCAGACTAAATTTTTCAATTTTTATGAAGGGGGGGGGGGGGTTGCAGGTTGTTTTGTTTAATACAAGAGAAGTGATAATTTATACTGCGAGTGAGAAGTGTTATTATCATATTCCCGTTGTCCATCCCATCAGTGTTTAGGAATTCATGTAATGGAAGACCCAGGCTCAATGACCTCCTCTGCTTAGACTGAGTCGTGTCCATTCCCAGTGACTGCTCTAAATTAGTCTTTCTGGGGAACAGATGTGGTATGCTGAACCTCTCATCATAACCGTTTGAACTACAGAGAAACAAGTGCTGAAAACAATGGAAGATCAAGACATATCACCTTCCCATAGCAAGGACAAAAATAACAGAATTAAGTTTATTCTCTTTTGCTGTGATCTAATTAATATTTGCTTATGTTACAAGATGGAAATGCTCCAATAATTAAGAATATGGGAAACAGCCTAGAGATTTTGTCGCATGGTGTCTGCTCAGAAGTACGGTACCTTCATTTCAATACAGACTCAGCACCAGGGAGGAAGCAAATGTGAGGTGAAGGATCTCTCACCCCTCATATAACTGTTAATCATAACTCATTATTTTTCAGCACAAAAAGCACTGAAGACAAACTTAATTAACAGATGAAAGAGCAGAGGCTTCAGTGTGTTCAAAGCTAAGAATTGCATCTGACTGCATGTTTTAAGGGAGAAAGAAACAAGGTGTGCAAGGGAAGTATTAAGATGCATTTATAGATAAGTTCCATGAATTCCCATCTCATTCCTCGACATGGTTGTTGATACAACCTGGAACTGTGAAAAGGAGAGAAGAAAAAAACCAAACTTCTGAACTCCTACCAAAAAAATCTAAATAGGTGAAGCATAGAAAAGATCAAGACCTTGTTCCTAGCTTAGGTATCTATCATTCTCCTCAAGTTTCAGTCACACAAACAATAACGACACACCACACCAAAGGTCACATTGAATTTCCGGATCCTTCACTCTGCACAAGAGGAAAAAAAAAAAAAGCTGACAAGATGTCTTTGCCTAGTTGACTCCTTCCTGGAGCTCTTTCTAAGAACTTCAAGAGAGGCAGAAAGCTGAATGAAAATACTTGAGACACACCGAAAGAGTTGGCCTACATATTTCCTGAACAAACTGTATAACCCAGGACGAACCTAACTGCCCTTTATCAAGTCTGTTAGCTTCGTGTAAATAGGTTCACAACGCAGTAGACAAGATCTCATGTGTAGCAAAAGTTATGCAAAAGTTTTTCCATTGTTTTGTTTTGGTTTTTTTTCATAGCAGTTAACACAAAGCCAGCTATTGCTGGTTGGTTACTGAAAACCAGGGTTCTCGCAAATATCCAACTACCCCGTAGGGCTCCAATGGTAATTAGAGCATCTATCCTTTCTTATGCAGTAAAATAGCGACAGTTTCAGAAAATTACACCTGAAAAGATATTTCCTTCTTTCACACAGGAAAATCTACCCATCACATTGCTTCACTTCACTCTCCAAGCCTGATCAGCATATATCAACTTAGAAAGGTCACCTAAGCAATTGGTTACCATGTAAAACTGTAGGATTTCCTTGCTCCGCAAATAAACATCGGATCTCTGGAACCAAATATAAGACATCTGAGCATTTGTGATTTCAAAACCGTTGATATTATTCTGCAAGCAAGTAGTAAAAAAACCGTACTGGACACAGCTTCAACACATATGGGGGGAATTTGATCTATGCACAAGAAATCAACAATTCCTGTTTTAATAGAAAAGGGGAGACTATGAAGACACTATGCTGTAATAAACCGAGGTAGTTTTTATA